AGATTAACCAAGGTCCTGACCCAGTGATTGTCTGGAGTCGGGGGTCTGTTTATGTGTTTCCACAGGGAGAACAGCAGCCAATTTGGATTCCAGAGAGATTAACTAAAGCGATTTCTACAGACCAAAAAGAAGATGATTTGGCTCAAATCCATAACAACTGATATCCAAAACTCCAGTTTGGTTATTCTTACATCTGCGACAGAACCAGGATGCTTTTTTCAATATCTATTTTATTATTGCCCTTTCCCACATCATAAAGTTCTATTTTGTTTTTTGAGCTCATACAGACCTAGGTTAATGTTTTGCTGATCAGTTCTATTTTTTGACTATAGAGTTTTTAAACATTGCAATGGAGATTTCACCTGTAAAAAGTTATAAGGCCTTTACTATTATATTATGTGTTGTGTGCACACTTGTGTTTTATGTTGTATGTTTGTACGTACTTATGTCCATTCCCTGCCCTTTCAGACTGCCAGCTGATGATTGGCTCAGAGTGGCCCCAGCAACTTGTAGCTGATTGGCTCCTCTGTGGTGATGCTCATTGGGCTGTTTCCCTGCCCTTGCAGACTATGGAGCTGCTCATTGGGGGACTTTTTTGGCTCTGCACACGCAACCCAGCCAATCAGCCTCAAGAGCAGGAGGAGTGGGGGAGGTTGAGAGGCTTGTGGGAAGCTGGTGGTGGCAGTTGGGCTCTGAGGGTTTTTCCTGAGGAGCTGTTTTGTTTGGTGTGTGGGGTTCTAAAAATAAAGTTTGTTTCTTTTGACAAATGGCTCCTGAATTGTGCCCAGCCAGACTGCGGCAGGTATATGTTTAATATTAGTTTTTAAACTGCCGAATTATTTTCCAGAATGTTGTACCATTTTTCCACTCCCATTAACAATGTAGAAAAATTTTAATAGTTCCATGCAGTCATAATTTTTCACTTTGGTCATTCTAATGAATGTATACTGGTATCTCATTGTGATCTTAATTTGCATTACTATAATGATCATGATATTAAGCATACCGAGCATCTTTTCAAATGGTAGTTGACATCCTTGCTGAAATGTCTGTTGAAATATTTTGTGCATTTAAAACTTCTTAATGCTGAATTTTAAGAATTCTTTATACAAGTATTTTCTGCTCATATGTATCTTACAGTGATTTCATAGAGGAAGTTTAATTTTAATTAACTGTCAATTATTTCTTTTATGGACTGTGATTTGGATTTCATATCTAAGAACACTTCCTAATTGAAGATTATGAACATTTTTTTTCCTTTAAGAGTTCGTAGTTTTACATTTTGCTTGATTATACAGTCTGTTTTGGGTTAATTTTTGCATAGATGGTTTAAAGTTTAGTTAATTTGAAGTTATTTTTTTTCCCATGTGAATATCGAGTTGTTCAGCATTTTTTGTTAAAGAATATCCTTTCTTCAAAACTGCCTTTGTACTTTTGTCATAAACTATTTGATTTTATTTCTAAACACTGTCTTATTTCCTTGGACTATATGGCTATCATTTTGTGAGTACCACATTGTTGGATTACTGTAGTTTTTGGTCAGAAAACCATTATGTGATTTTCTTTCTCACCCGAATTGTTTGATCAATTCTAATTCCTTTTTCTTTATATATTTTAAAGTTAGCTGGTCTGTATCTATAAAATATCCTTCTGTCATTTTGATTAAAATTGCATTAATTTTTTAGGTCAATTTGGGGAGAAGTGCTATCTTTAATTTAGCTCTTTTACTCTATCACATAGAACGTCTGTCCTTAAACCTTTATCAGTCTTTTATATTTATGCAATTTTCACTGTAAAGACTCTATTTTTGGCCTGGTGTATGGTGCACACCTATAATACCAGCAGCTCGAGAGGCTGAGGCAGGAGGATCATGAATTCAAAGCCAGCTTCAGCAAAAAGTGTGGTGCTAAGCAACTCAGTGAGACCCTGTCTCTAAATAAAATACAAAATAGGGCTGGGGATGTGGCTCAGTGATCAAGTGCCCCTGAGTTCAATCCTTGGTCTATTTCTCCCCACCCCCGAAAAAGAATCTATTTTTGTTAGGTTTAAACCAGTTTGTCGTTGTAGCTATTGAAAGATGTTATTTTACAAACACTGTTTTCCAATTACTCATTTCTAATATACAGAAATATACCAGGTCTCGCTAATCCCACTTGTTGGGGAATTTTTTTTTGGTGTATTCCTTGTGGATTTTCTACAGTCATATCTGTTAACATTTCTTCCATTCCAATTCCAGTGTCTTTTAAATATTCTTTTTCCTTGTTGCATTGGCTATAGGTTTCAGTAAAATATGGAATCATGGGTGAGGAGAGTGGACATCATTGCTTAATTCCCAGTTCCTAGAAGTATCCAGTGAAATGTGATATTAGCTGTAGAGTTTTTCTAGATGTCTGTTTTCAGATTGAGGATGGTCCCTTCTATTCCTAGCTTGCTGTGAAAATTTTCAAAAAATTGTAAATAGTTGAATTTTATCAAATACTTTTTCATTATCAATTGGTTATCATGTAAATTTTCTCTTTGTATCTGTCATGTGATGTTTTACACTGGTTTTTCAAATGTTGAATTCGTCTTGGATTTCTGGGATATACCCCACTTGGTCATAATGACTTCCGATTTATTGCTGGATTCAACTTGCTTGTATTTTGTTGAATTTTTGTACTTGTTTTTCCTTCTCTCTATGCAATTAACTTCCTTTTTAAAAAATCTGTTTTAGTTGTAGATGGACACAATACCTTTGTTTATTTTTATGTGGTGCTGGGAATTGAACCCAGTGCCTCACGTATGCTTAGGCAAGTGCTGTACCACTGAGCCACCACCCCAGCTCACATTAACTTCCTTTTCTTATGTAATTGATTTACTTGGATGTTTCTCATGTCTATAAGTGCTTGTTTAATGATGTTTCCTTAAGATTGATAATACAGTTTACCTGGGCTTCATCATTGGTTTTTTTTTTTTAAATTTTGGATGGGTGGTAACTTATACCATTTTTAATGCTCTAACCAAAATACCTCAGGCTGGCTGATGAATGAACAACAGAAAATTGTTGCTTACAGTTCTGGAGGCTAGGAAGTCCAAGGTCAAGGAGCCAGCAGATATGGTGTGTAGTAAGAATGTATTCCTCAACAATGCCACCTTGTACATGTCCTCTCATGGTCAAAAGGGCAGACAAGGTCCCTGGCACCTCTTTTATGGGGGTAGTGGACCCTTTTGTGAGGGTACAGTTCACAAGACCTTATCACCTTCCTACCGTCCCAATACTTACAGAGTCATGGTGAAAATTTCAACCTTGAAATTTTGTGGGAGGAGAAAAACACTCAGACCACAGCAGATGGAGCCAGCTTTTCATCAGCTGAAATCTTTAGATTCTCATTTATTTTTGTCTTTCCATGAAATAGCCATTTATGAATGTTGCCTGCAGTGTTTTTGAAATGTGTTAATGTGATTCTATGTAGAAAAAAATTAGAGGTTCCAATTTTCAAGGGATTAGTTTTGTAGTTTCTTTTATTTTTTAGGTACACTATTGATATTTATGACAAGAAAATTATCCCTTTACTAATTTTTTACTAATGTACCAAAGCACATTGGCTAGTTTTATGTGGTTCTTTTTTTTCATTTATTGCATTTTATTTCCATATGGAATTTAACATTCCCTTTTCTCACATCTCTCACACTTTTTCTCTTTAAATAAATCGTTTATGAACATGTTCTCCGCTCTGATAGATTTATGAATCTTTCTCTCTGCCCTTTTACCTCTTGTACCACACCCTTTCTTTTTAAAATTAGAGCATTATATATAGCAGTTGGATTCATTTTGGAAAACATCATACATGTAAGGAATTTTTCAATCCCTGTTTTCTTCCCTCTCCCTCCCCGTAGTCTCCTCCTTCTCTGCTAATCTTCCTTTTGCTCTTTTTTTAAAATTTGTCTTTTATTGGTACTTTCTAAATATACAGAAAGGGTGAAATTCTCTGTGGCATATTTATATATGCATATAATGTGGGTTTGTTAAAATTTGTTAAACTTATTCCATATTTCCTCTCCTTTCCTGTCTCCTCTGTCCTTCTCAGTCTCCTCCTGCTCCACTAATCAATCTTCCCTATATCTTTGATATCTGAACTAGGAAAGGCCTGAGGTTTCTGATTTTTTGTTTTTAGTTTTGTTTGGTACTGGGAATTGTACCCAGAAGTACCTTACTACATCCCAAACCCTTTTTATTTCTATTTTCTTTTATGTTAAAAAGGGGTCTAAGTTGTTATTTAAAAACACATTTATGATTGTAAATTTTTCTCACCTGGCAATAGAATATTCAGTGTAAAGGCACCAAGGCATGGCAGAAAAAAAAAAAAAAACAAAAAAATTGAGCTCCCCGAGTCTTCCGTAAGCACACAGTATTTATATCTCTGGTTTCTTCTATTTATTGACTCTGTGTGTGTGTGTGTGTTTTATATTTGTGTATCAATGTACACATGAAATAATAATACAGTTGCCTGTTAAGAGGGCAAGTAGCACTCTCAATAGCTATTCTACTATCTGTTGTGACTTAAGAAATGTTGGGTTACCTTCATTTTGTGTTTAAGATCTCAGATGTGGACTAGAGATATAATCTCTGCATGTGCGGGTTTGCTCAGATTGACATCTGAATGCAGATGTGACTGCCACACATTGAATTGTGTGGTTAATGAGTCAAGAGGTCGGCTTTGTTACTCAGCTGGTCTAGATTCAAATCCAGCTCTGAATTTGGGTATGTTGCTTACCTCTTCAAGATTATTTTTTCTTTATAAAATAGGGATACTACTGTCAATTTTTATGGCAAAACTTTAGGATTAAATGAGAGAATACATATCAAACTTAGTATGGGGTCTAGAACAAATTAAGTGTAAAACAGTAGCTGATACTTTATTTCTTGCTGTCTATTTATTATAATCTATTTACTCTGGGAATTGAAGCCATCCTGGATTTTTCACATTTTCTCAAAAAGGTTTTTTAAATGTCTTCCACAGGATTTTGTCTCCACAATTATACGTCTACTTGACAGCCCCTCAACTTCCATTAGAGCCAAAGCCTTCCTGGTGCTTTTGTATATTGTGATGCATAATCGTGAGATGTTGCTACTCAGCTGCCAAGCAAGGTATGATCTTCTCGGATGGCTTCATCAATAACTTCAATTTAGTTCATGTTTTATTAGTAGTTTCATATGCATTTTACAGGATATTTCTTGGCCTTTATGCATCTGGTATTGAAAACTTTTTTCTAAAAATTTCCAAGAGTTTAATATGTCTTACAATCTCAGCTTAGACACACAAAGAACCTGAGAAGATTCTAAATCTGAAGTGGGGTGTGAAAGTACCTGGGGTACTCTATCTAGATCTGAGCCCACTCTGAGGCAGGGTGTTAGAGTTGGTCCTTTGTACCTTAGGATTTTTAGAACCAATGGTAGGCTTTTTTTGTTGTTGTTGTTGTTGTGAGATTCTGGAATGAGTAGCTGTGAAGGCTCCAGAGGAGCAGACTTGTAAGGTAGGAAGAAAGCTGGGTGGGAGTTCAAGGACTTACTCTGGACTGGGGCTTGTTTTTTTTTTTTTTTTTTTTTTCCCTCTCCATTTCAATTCCTTCCTCTAAAAGGAAGAGATAAGTTCCCTTCAAGCTATGATGCTTTATGATTAACCTCTGTTGAAGCCCAGAGGTTTCCTTAAAATCTGGTTTAATGTTCACTTCTTCATCTAGGTTTTTACTTGTTCTGGAATAAGAAGAGAGTGTGCAATGCTGAGATTGATTTGGATTAGGAATTGGTACAGTTACTTTTTTTTTTCTTTCCCGTAAACATCCAGAGAATTCACAATTGGGCTTTGTGGGCAAAATGGAAAAATTTTGACTGTTATGTTGATATTTATATAACAAGGCAAATTCCCACATGTCTTTTATTGACAGAAGAAAAATAATGATTGAGAATGTTAAAAAAATTTTTTTTGGTAATAGAGTTGTATTAATGAAAAAATTCTTTTTTTATAGGGGAGATAACATTTAGCTTAACTGGTAGTCAAAGTTAGTGTCCACATCATGAAGTCACTTGCAGCTGATCTTTGGTGTGAGCTTTGGCTAATCTTTGAGAATGTCTATTCCTACAGATAAGTGCTGACAAATACTAATATCAATTCATGACTATGGCTATAATTGAATATACTCTTCACATGGAAGGTATTTGCCTTATTCTGTGATTTTTCTCTTGTTGTTTACCTTCTAGCAAGTCATTATATTATAGTTAATCACGTCTAATTCAAGGGTATTTAGAAGCGCTTAATAAGATTTCATTGTTTTTCATCTCTGGGGATTTACTACTTATATCCTTCTTTATTTTCTGCTTATTGTCTTTAAAATTGATGTTTTGAATATTTTGTTTTAGATTGGAAGTGAATCCTGTTGCTGTTAGTCCATAATAGATGGAAGTGGAGGTCACTTGTCTTCATTACTTTTCAATGGCCTTAACAGTGACTTTGCTGCCTTTGATCGCTCCTTATGTCTACCATCATTTTCTACCAGATGAACTAAGTTTCTCAACTTGTGTTCTTAGGTCATTTCTCATTCTCAGTCTGGTTTCTGTAGAGCAGCAGAAGTATCTACACACCGTCGTGACTCATCTTCCCTGCTCAGACTCTTCTGGTACTACCCAGCCATAATAAAATAGTAGCCGGCTCCTCACCAGGACCCACTCTGCCCGGCCTCATCCAGTTCCTGCCCATCTCTTAGCCCTTGTTTTGTAGTCTTTTTGCTCATTTGCTTCCAGTATGCAGGTTTTCTTTTTACTCTTTTTTTAATTTTTAAGTTTGTTTTAATTAGTTATACGTGACAGTACAGTGCTCTTCTTACTCTTTGAATACACTAAGCCTGTTGTACTGCTTTTAAGTCTTTCCCCAATTGCATTCTCAGTGGCTGTGATCTCTTCCCCCCCCCCCCCCCCCAGGGTTTGCTTGGCTAGCTGCCTTGGGTTATTCAGGTCTCTGTTTTTCAGAGAGCCATTCAGATCACTCTATCTGAAACATTTTCTGCAACCCTAACTGCAAAGACTGTTTAACTGGGAGGAATAAAACCATTCAGATGTTCAGTGTCTGGGGACTCATGGCACATCCAGTCCTCCCAGGGAACTGCTGTGACTTCTGTGTGTCTCTAGATGAATATTTAGAAAACTTTACAAATGGCAGGAAACAGATGGCCTGAAGGCACATCCTGACTGAGTCCATGTTGATTCTCTGGAGCAACATAGCCAGCAGGGCAAGTGTGGAGAGCGGATCTCACAGGTGGGCTGCATTCTTCCTGCACTGTGTGGCAGAGATGACACGCCTCTTCTTGAGTCCCTGATGGTGAATATAGACCTTGGAGCTTCTGCAGGGTTCTAAATGCAGATGCTTTCTCTGTGTGATGATTGGGGTCTGTAGTCCTATTCCTACTTCAGAAGTGTCCAGGACATCTGGAGTAGGGCTGAAAGAATTGGTGGGGCCAGCCTGCCCCAGACTGGGAGGCTCTGGGAAGACGACTTTACCTGCTTCCCTTTCCTCACCTGCTTTGGCGCACCTGTCCTCAACTGGTGCTGAGTAGGGGAAGAAATTAGTAGGTCAACGTTTGCCCCAGGCAGTTTTGCAAGACATAGTTCTTGAAGGAGAAAGAACAGGAAGACCAGGCAGCTCTTACTGTGGCAGAACTAATGAAAGAGACAGAAAAGAATTTTAACAATTAATGAAAACACTATGGAGAGGCAGGTTTTTTGGAAAATCAACAGAAGAACTGAGAGACAATGGTCTCTGCTGGGGATGTCATTGCGGCTTTGAAAGTCCATATGAAAGAACACGCTGAACTGTATTGAGCCGGCGACAAAGACATGGGAAATCCATGTGAAAACAATAAGATGGAGTGTGGGTCCAGGAGGCCTCACTTTGCAAAGCGCCAGGAATTCTAGGAGGAGGAGGGACAGATGGCGGATGATTTCTAATCAAGGTAGTTTTAGTAGTCATCTTCAGGTTCAACTTTATGTCTTCTGTATGTGAATGAGAGTAAAGGAGTTAAAAAGGCACAAGACAACAATGGCAGAGGGAAAGATGACTAAAAGTGGATGAGTGTTGTTTCCCCATAACTTTGTATTTTGGATGCTGGAAAGCTGACGGATAAATCTTTACTCATTTAGTGGAAGGAGATTGCTGAAATCTCTTATTGTCTACAAGGGATGAGGCCAATATTAGACATGATTACTACCTGGTAATATTTGGAATGGTAAGGAGATGGGCTTACCAGGTACTTTGAAAGCATAAGTGAGAAATTGCTATGGAGATTTGAGCCATAGCTTTCCTCCTACACTGAGCATCTGGGAGGCTTCTCCTCTCCAACTGTAGCAGGGCTCTTGAGAGGTGTTCTGCATAGTGTGGCTAAGAGGGGATGAGGAGCTTGTGGAAAAGCAGATGACAGTATGAAAGTAAACTTACTCTGTGGGAGGGCCTTAGCTACCTTCCCATTCAAACTCGGACTGCTTGCAGCTTGACTTACCTACTGTTGCCCAGAGTTTGGAGCATCATCTTAGGGAAGCTCTTGGGGATCTGATAAAAGCCCCACAATGGCTGACATTTGAGTGTTCCCTACTACAGCCAGTGGAATTTTGTCCTACACTAGAGGCCATCTGTCATAAGCCCTATTCCTATGTGCAAACTTCCAGCCACACTTCAGTGTCATTTAAAAAAAAAAATCACCAGATATTTGAGGAAGACCTGTGACATGGAACACAGAAACCCAAAGTAAATTAAAAGGATTGGACAGGAATAGACAAGAGTCCATGAACAGCCAGTTAATGGAAAAAGGAAAGCAGATGACCCTTAAACTTATGAGTAAATGCTAAATCTGCCTTATTTTAATTGAAATGCCAATTATTAAAACTACACTAAGATGCCATTTATCACTTAATGCATTGGCAATATTTGACAATGTATTCTCTTGGCAAGGCTCTGGAAACTGGCACTTTTTTACACTACCAGTATAAAAGATGCACAATAGTGTAACTACTGTGAAGAAGAATCTGGAAATATTGGTTGAATATCCCTTATCTGAAATTCTTGGGACCAGAAGCACTTTTTTGGGGAGTGGATTTTTGTATATACATAATGAGATATCTTGGGGATAGGACCCAAGTCTGAACATGAAATTCATTTGTTTCCTATGCATCTTACACACATTGACCGAAGGTAATTTTATACATATTGTTAGTGTGCCTGCATTTTTGGCTGTGACCAGGCACATGAGTCAAGTGTGGCAAGATAACTATTTCCTTTGTGGTATCATGTCAGTGCTCAAAAAAATTGCAGATTTTGGAGCATTTCAGACTTTGGATTTCTAGAGTAGGGATACTTGACCTCAACAAAGGAAAATAAAAAACGTATTCATTTACCTTTTGACCTAGCTGTCTTGCTTCTAGGAGACTGCATGAGAAGTGAAATGACACAGCACAGGGCTAAACTACCCAAGCATCCAGCACCAGGAATCTAGTCGGGGAACTGTGGTGATCTCCGTGTTAGTTTTCTATTTTTTGTTGAAACAAATTGCCATAATCTCAGTGACTTTAGATAATGCCTATTTATCTCATGGTTTTATGGGTTAGGAGGGTGGGCACTCTGTTACTGCTGACCTCCCAGGCTTGAAGTCATAGATATTGGCTGGTGCTGTAGCTCTCATCTGAGGCTCCGTGTTCTCTTCAAAGTTCACTAGTGATTGGTAGAATTAATTTCTTTCAACTATAGGACTGAAGTCTTCTGGATTAGAAATTCGCAATGTAGCTGTTAGCTTTCTTCCTGGCAAGATCACTTCTCATGCCCTGAATTCGCTTCATGGTTCAAACATCTTTGTCTAGTTCCGCCACCCGTCAGGGGAAATGATCTGCTTTCAAAGGTCTCACCTGATTAGATTAGGCTGACCCAGATGTTCTCCATATCTCAAGGTTAACTGAACTGGAACTTCACACCTTCCAACTCCCATTCTCAGTAGTACCTACATTACTGTTTGGTTGAGTAGTTAGGAGTGGAACTCTTGGAGAAGGACCATCTTTAGAAATCTGTGTATCCCAATCCCCATAATGGAGGGGAAAAGGAACAGGGAATATCC